AGAATCTTGCTTAGATATTATATTCGCAAAATGAGGTGAATATGGTGAAAAACAGTGAAAATGTAAATAAATAATAAGCTGAATATACAGGGTGTTTCTAAATGAATATAGTGGTTTTAACGCTTTGTAGTATTTAGTACGTAAAACTTGAAATCATAATTAATACAATGAAGAAATGAAATGAAAGAGCAGTTTTGTTTGTCGGTACGCGCATGTGGTAGTAGAAAGCGGTAGTAGCAAAAACGGCGACTAGTTAATAGAAAGCTTTTTGTGTTCTACCCGTGTTTTAAAACCGAATCTGTAGTTACTGTGCAACGTGCGTTTCGGATTAAGTTCAGATGTGATGCTCCAAGTTATAATAATATCCGTAGATGGTATTATCAATTTGAAAATAGCGACTGCTTTTGCAAAGAGAAGCGTACGTCCCGGAACAAGGGTTTTCAACTTAATGTGTGCCGTGTGACGAAAGCTGCTCATATTGAACACTTGTAAGCTTGTAGGTATAACTGTTTGAGTTGTTCCTTCATTTTATGTATTAATTATAATTTTAAATAATAAATACCACAAGGCGTTAAAACCGCGATATTCATTTCAAAACACCCTATATATTGTTAACTGAATTTATATACTGCTATAGTATATATTTCATGTTAATCTATGCATAATGCATAGTAAATTCTTTGCAGTAAAGTTTTTGATGAATGGACTACACGATGTTATGCAATGAAGTACTTTTTGTTTAAGTGCTATTAAACGACAAATGTTAGTTGCAAAAACTGCGTAAAGTCATTAGGTTATATCGATGCAAGAACATGAAAAGTGTGCAATGTCTCGCCGAGAATCGAGCTCCGGACCTCAAGATTAGGTGTCAGACTTGTTATCCAGTTACACTCCGAAGGTACGTGGAAAGAAGGGAGAAAATACCTTACACACTCGGCCTTTTGAACGGAGATTGAGGATGAGGGGACCCCAGTCACTAAATCCTGGTGTTGAAGAACCTTTTCTTTATCAAGCGCCACTGTACAGTTATTAGGTTATATAGATTTAGGAACTTGAGAAGTGTGCAATGCTCTCGCCAACATTCGAATTCCAGACATCCCGATTACGAGTCACCTATCCAACTCACCACAAAGGCTAGCGGAAAGGAGGGAAAAAATACCTCATAATTCATTTATTAAATATCAAGTAAGATAATTGCATATACAGTCATCTGGTTGACATCTGTTGATTGCTCATAATTGACTTTTTATTAGAATAAATAGAAACTGAAATACTATTAATGGAAATTTGAGCTACGAAAAGTTGTATTTATGAAAACTTTTTTTAACCAAATGGTTTTTTAGCTACCAAGTAAATACCTTATATAAACAGTTTGTTGCTCATGGATAATGTCTTCATTTAGGTGAGGGTGTGTATAAAATGACAGGAAAAAATTTCCTTGCATAATATTCAAACGATTAGCTCTAGGATACCGAATATGGAGTTTCGTTCCAAATTTAATTGAATAGCATTTAAGTATTTGCTCTAAGATACCGATTACAGAGAACTTAATAGAAATACTTCTTATATTACAAAATATACCAATGATGTGTAAAAAATGTGGTACATATTCTGTTAAATACACAAGAAAGTGAAAAATTTAGTAACTGTTTTATGCTGACTAAAAACTGTTTAAAATGTTATTATGTAATGTTTCAAGAGTTGTACTTTATAAGTCATTATTTTAAAATATCGAACGTTAAGAAAAAACGTTCTGTGACAAAACGTTTCTTCTTTGACTTTTCGCGATAATTTAAACTCGAATTTTCGTACTTTGTTTTTCCTCAAATTATATAATCCATTAAATAATTTTACTTGCGCGAAAAAATATTTTCTTTTTTTTTTTTAAAGTTTAAAGAAATTTAACACGATATTCATTTTATGAACTCTTGATAAACGGGACCTTCGAAAGTCGACGCTAGTTTCGAGCTTTGGCGACAGATATTTCGCGATTGCGCAGCTGTTTTCCTTTACGTTGGGACGGAGCCACTCCTGTTGCGAAGAAGTTTTAATTCTTGTTATACATATTCTTTGGTGCAGGTTCGAGTCCCGGAGAAGGCACAATTTATTTTTCAAGTCTCCTACTTCAAAATAAGATAACGATTCTAAAAACTAATTGAATAAAAACTATTTTCAAATATTTTCAACAGAAATTAAACGTATCTTCATGATGTAGTGCAGCGGTTCTTAACCTATGGATCGCGAAGCATATTTTTTGGGTCGCGCTAAGTCAAATTAAAAAAAAACTTTTAATATACAAAAATAAATACCAACACCTACTAGAAGAGTTTTTTTCTACAATACTAAAACATGCATTGGTTTTATCGCTCTTCGCGAATGGCCTTCTAGAAGAAATCCAATTTGTCTATAGCTTTCTTCTATAGTGTTGGTAATACTCCACGCCATTGCTTTACGTGCGCGCAACACAATAAGGTTGTAGGTAACAGTCTTCTCCGGTAGTGACACCTTTGTAAAAATTAAAAGCGCTTTTATTCGACTTTTAAGAAACGGGGAATTTCCGTTGGTTGTGACATGTAAGCAGATGTTATCGATTTAACTCGTGTGAATAAGAAGTAATAACGGAAAATTGTATTGTGTTTTGCATATTAATGATATTTACGTAAAAAAGTTGCACTCCGCTGCAAGTTCTTTGTCAAAACTCGTTTCTGTGTTTATGTGTGAATAACATGGAACGTGTAAGAATCATAAACGTCAATACAAGCATTTAGAACATTTTTGTCTGTTTATTAGTGGAGTGATCAAGCTGCAGTGCGTATTGTAAAATTGTAATCACCCTAAAATGGCAAAACGTGCATACAAGGAACCTTTTTAGAATTAGGGTTTACTGCATTTATGGAGGAAGAACAAGCCGCAATGCGTCTTGGCAGTGAATACTAAGTATGAATCGATGAAACCGAACAACTTAAAAGACATTTTGATGCAAAAACAAAAATTTTTTCCTTTGAGGGAAAAGATCGTACTTTTTTCGAAAGAAAAGCCGATTTAAAAGACAGCGTTTAGATGCACCAAGTAGTAATAGTTTTCTAATTTCTACCAAACAATACAAGCTTCTTTTTATGTGGGCTTGGCAATTGCAAGAAAAGAAACCCCATAATATTGCTGAAAAAATTATAAAACCTGCTGCCATTGACATGGCACGTATCATGTGCGGAGATGAAACTTCAAAAACTTACAAAAGGTATTATCAATGATACAATTTGTTACGAATTAATATATGTCGTTTGATATTAAGAATCAACTTATTTTGCTATAAATGCTGTTTATTTAGATTCAACTGGATGAAACGACTGATGTAATAACGATGCTCAACTAATGGTTTACGTGCGTATCCAGGGTTAACAGTTATACAGGAAGATTTTTTATTTTGCAAATCAATGTCAACAAAACTAGAGGTGAAGATATATTTCTCATGTTTGATTCGTTTTTTAAAGAAGAAGGATTAAATTGGAATCAGTGTTTCAGTATTTGCACCGACGGTGCAGCTGCCATGACAGCATCTCAAAAGGGTTTTCGACAAGAGCAAAAAAAATGAATTCACAAATTTTATCGGTTCATTGTTTTTACAAGACAACAATCTTGCTTCAAAAAATTTATCGCCCGAATTAAGTATTGTTTTGAATGAAATTGTTACGGTAGTCAATTTATAAATCAAGAGCTCTTACTGTAGAATTTTCCGCGAACTGTGAAATTTGGTGCAGAATACGAACATTTATTATATACTTTGAAGTTAGATGGCTGTCCCGGGGCCAAAGTTGTTCAAGAGTATTATCATTGCGGACAGAAGTCGAATTTTTTTTAGAGAAAAAACCCATTAGCATCTAAATTCTCGAGTTGAAGTGGATACTCAGTTGCTTATTGGGCAGATATTTTGTTTGAAATAAATAATCTAATACGTCTATGCAAGGACTAATCATACTATTATTGAATTAACTGAAAAAATTACATGTTTTAAAATAACTCAAATTATGGAGAATAAGGTTGAAGTAAAGAAACTTGCTTCATTTCGGACCTTAATTTACTGTTGAAGACAAGAATATTAATATCACAGATTTTGAAATACAGAAAAATTAGTATCAATCATTTAGAAAAATAATAGAGTGATCGGTATTTTCCTGCAGACGATGTTTTAAATATAATTGGGTTCGAATGCCATTTGATTTTGACGTAAGTGATTTGCATAGGAATTTGTTAATATTAATCAATTTCAAGAACAATTAATAGAAATTCAAAGTGACCAAGCACTTCGATACATTTTACAAAAACACTCCATCTTTATGTGCTTTCTGGTTAATCGAAAAAGCCAATAATTGTTAAAGAAGCCCTCAAAGTATTATTGCCCTTTTCAACAACATATATGTGTGAGGCTGGTTTTTTCGGCTCTAGGTCAAAAACACCACCGGACAAGTTAAATCCGAAATAGATTTAAGGCTCCTTGACAAGCATTCAACTCAGGTTTGCAGATCTTTCAAAATGTATTCAAGCACAAGGTTCTCATTAAAAGCGTATAAAATGTTATTATAAGATTAAATTTCAATTATTTTAAAGTTTTTAAATTTATTTAGTTTGGTCATAAAATATTAAAAGCACTTGATTATTTATTAAATTTTTCTTGGATCAAAGTACTTTGTTTAACTTTATTTATAAAAAAAATTTGTAGTTAAAATCATCATTTAAGATTAAAGGTTTTTACAAATATGCTCTAAAATAAAGCAATGAAAAAATATTGACTTTTTTGGGGTCGCGACATAAACATTTTTCTCAAATTTGGGTCGCGGCTCAAAAAGGTTAAGAACCACTGATGTAGTGTGATAAAATTAAATTTCGAATTGTGATATTATAATCTGAATAATTTTGCTGTGATACTAATCCTTTCAATGATCCTACTATGCAACTCAGTAAATTGATTAAGCAAATTCATTGCTTCCCTTATTTAATTTCAGAATATCAAAATGCCGCAGTCCGAGGAGGAAACAAAAAAGGAACAAAATGTAAAAGCGCAGATGTCTGAAGAGGAAATGAAAAAGGAGTCTTGTGTGCTTTTGCTGTTTGTTAGAGGACGTCCTTTCCCAGGAAGTCGATGGTTCTACAAAGAAATCATCGAAGAAGCTTTAAATTTCAAACCTCGAGACACGGATATTTTAATCAGTACATTCCCTAAGTGTGGTACTAACTGGATGAAATACATTGTGCACACTATCATCACTAGAGGGCAGAAACCTTTAGAATCGTCTCATCAACTAACTTATGAAGCGGTGCCTTTTGTAGACATCAGTGGAATTGCAGCCGTTGAAGCCTTACCAGACCCCAGACCTATTCATTATCATTTGCCATACGATTTGATTCCAAAAAATCCGAAAGCAAAATACATTTACATATTCCGAAATCCAAAAGATACGGTCGTGTCATTTTATCATTTTACAATGCAAACAGATGAGCTTAATGTATCTTTCGACGAGTACTTTGACACCTTCATGAAAGGACTTGTAGCTTATGGTGATTATTTTGATCACGTGTTGTCTTGGTATGAGCACAGAAATGATCCCAACGTTTTATTCTTATCTTATGAGCAGCTTCATGCTAATACCAAAGAACAAGTATTAAGAATTGCTAAATTTCTTGGTGAGCATTATTATGAGGAGCTTGTAAAAGATAAAGAATTAGCTGAGCTTGTCCTTAAATTAATCAGCTTTGAAAGTATGAAGAAAACTTTGATGAAAGAAGCACCCGGCAAACATGAATATGAACTTAAATCGGAGGCTATTGATTCACCATTTCAAACACCAGGGCCTCGATACGAAGTTAAATATCTGAGATACTTCAGAAAAGGAATTGTTGGTGACTGGAAAAATCACTTGTCTCCAGAGCAAAACCGTAGAATGGATCAACGCATTCAAGAAAAATTTGGAGGCACGGAGATAATAGAAATGTTCAATGCAAAAAAGACATGGCTTTAAACATATGTTAATGACAAACTTTTATATCTGTAACAGATAGAAGATATATTTTATCAGAAAACTGACATTCCCGTGGAAGATTATGCAAAATTATGAGATGATGATATTGTTTTATTTTGGAGAACTTACTTATGAAACTTTTTCTTTTTTATTTCTCTTTCTGCATCAGAAATGATGAATTCAATTCAAAAAAGCATCTCAACATTTAACATGATAATCAAATATTAAAGAAAATATTTTTTATTTTTTTAAACTTTTCCATTATCAAATACAAGTGGGAACTTTGCATTTAGCTCTCAGGTCCCTACTGTTGTTGTGATATTACATTAATTTATGTCTTATGTGAAACATGTGATTTTTGTTACAAATGTTGCATACCATTGTTTATGTTAAGATCAAATAAATAATAGGTATTGTTATTTAGTTTTGACATTATTTTAGTTCTAAATTGAGTCACTTATAATATTTAAGTAAAAAATTTCATCTATATAAAAACTTATTTACCGACAAAAAAGCTCAGTTAGAAGACAGATGGTCAGTTAGAAGACAGGTCTGTAATTAATTTTTTTTTTTTTTTTTTTTTTTAATATTAACGTTTGTAAAATTAGCCTTTCTGGTGGGGAAAAAATTCTTTAGAAAAAGGAAGTCTTGCTTCTTTCTTTATTCTGGTATTCAAAACAAATTTATTCCTATTATTAACACTTTATATTAAGCACATACATAATTAATTAAGAAATTAAATTCTTAAGAAACTTGACATAATCAGGTCCATATTATCACCTGAAAGTGCAGCACTTTCCTATATAACATTTACTTTACTTTAGCAATCAAAGTAAATACAAAAGTTGCTGTAAAATGATTTTACTTCTGCAATCAGCATAAAAGTTACAATAAAATGATTTATGAATCAAATGTCAGTATATACAATAAAAAGTAATACTTGGTTACAAATGTATAATAATATATGCAACAGATATAGAAACAACTGATGCTAAATCAAAAAAAAAATTTTTTTTGAAAACAGTTGCGATCAATTTCAATATATAAAAAGTTTTTAGGTTCAGAATTATTAAGAGACCAATTTCAATTATGACAATGAATAAGCATGATTCATCATATTTCATTATATATGAAACAATTTTGGTGATAATATTTTCTTTTTAAGTCCACTCTTAATACAAACTTTATTTCGTAAAAAATTAGTGTTCTGAAAAATAAGTTACACATGTTTTTGACTTCATTTATAATACAAAAACTACCAGTTGAATACTAATGTAAGAATAAATCTTAATAAAGGATTAAAAAGATACCTTATAAATTCGATCTAATTACATAACAGGGGGAAAACATTATGGTTGTTATGAAACAATAAAATGCATTTACTGACTTTGAATAATGTTTTGAACAATGATTTAAACAGAACAGTCAGAAGTAAACAGAACAGTCATATTTAATTTTAAGTATACTGTTAAAAGATTTTATCATCAAAGATAAATAACCTTAAAAATATCTTAAGTAATTGCTGAAAAATATGAATCTTCCTCCCTCTCCAAATGGCAGGCTGAAGATTTTTGATTACATTCAATTCGGCTTTCAATATTTCTTAAAATGGAGTTTATTACTTGGGAAGTCAAAGATTAGGTGCCTCATTAAACACATATTTTATTAATTACAAGAAAGTTTAAATTGTTCAAGAAATAAATTAATATGTTAAATTATCTCGACTAAATACATTATAAAAAATAAAAACAAATATTTATTAAGAACTGCATTTATTGGCTTTAAATTGCTCAATTAATCAATAACACACAAATTAAATATGAAAAATAACCTAAAAATCTTATACTTTGCTGAATGGTATCACACTGAGAGTATGTGCAAGGGTGTATGAAACATAAAGATCCCATGATTTGTGCAGTCACAACACACTCTTCAGTAACTTAAACTCTTGAGTAAGTTAACAAATAATGCACTGATTAAATTGGGAATAGAAATTTTTTTCTGAATGCTAAATCTCTCAGTTTAACTTTTCTGAATGCTAATCTGAAGGCAGGATGTTTATGTCATGCAGAAACAACACGTGCCAAAGGTTACTTTTGGACTCTTCCATTCTTTTCTTCCATCAATTTCTAAGGCAGTATGATGTTTATAGATTTAAATTTGATAGGATAGGGTTTTATATGTGAAATGGATATGATACACCTCTTTTGAGGTGCAAAGAAAGGAAACTATACATACTATACAGGACAATACAAACTATAACACCTATTTTTTAAATTGTAACTTGCTTGCTAGCAAGCTTTAATATCTATTATTGCAAAATTAAAATAATAAGCTTCTATATCAATATTTTAACAAATTAAAAAATATAAATAACATTATATAAAACGTTAACCAATAATAATTTTCTCAGTCAGAAAAAAGAATATTTCAAAGACTCAAAGAGTACCAGAATAAATTCCGTATTAATAATCATTACATACATAAAACATTTAATTTTAAAATCACTTTAAAACACATAATTGCTGTCCAATCATGATATGTGTCTCCATTTTACATTTACAAGCAGAGTTAAAAAATAAATGTGAATTTATCAGTTAAACTTTATTTACTGAATACAATGAAATGGTTCACAAATTATTTTGCAATGTAACTACTTGCCACTGCAATCTATTTCTTTCAGTAACTAGGAAGTTTCTGAATTCCAGAAGAATAAAAGTCTTTTTGACAGACAGCATGCACAGCTACAATTAACTGCTGATTAGAAATGAATTTTTGCTGCTCTTAAAATTCACAAGTGGGTTAATGAGATGAATATACAATGAAACTAGATCTGGACTTAAACAACATTATGTACCTCCTACTCCAACAAGTTGATTACAATTAGGTGAAGGAACTAATAGAGGTGATGGAAAGAAAAACTATCATTACTGTTGACGAGTTCAAATATGTAGTATTAACTTGTCCAATGAGACTTGATTATGATGAACGCTTTAAGAACTAAGCAAAGAAATTACTTTTTATATTTGAATTTCCTTCAATCTGTAACATATATATATATATATTATAATTTTAAAATGCCACAACATGATTATTAGTACCATTCAAACACTTTTGATATTGGAAATACACACGTACGACCAACAGCTGCAAAAGTAATGGCCTGATAAGGACTTTTACAGCCACTATATATAGTCTGCTGTCTATTTTTTTATTAACTTTCAATTTGCTACATTTTAAGTTTGTGCCACCTTTCATTTTTCACTTAAGGCACATGCTACACTTGTTCATTTTTTGACATAGCATAGCTATGATATTTAAGCTTCAATTACTAATACACGTTTCTGTGAAATGAATGAATGAATAATAATAAAACCCAACAAGAAAGGCCTAAAATATTTAAATTAACAATATTGCATAAAAATCATTAAGATTATATATTTGTAAGCAATAAAAATTAAGGAAACACTGCTGAAATATCTACGGTAATATATGAGAATCATGGATCTGCAGAAACATTGTTTCAAGAAAAAAAAAAAAAAAAAACCATTTCAAAGTTTCAGTTTAAAAAATAAAAATTATGAAGATTACATTTCTTTCATATTTATCTCATACAATTTAAATTTCAATTTCTTAGCATTCTGTGGAAAAACATCCAGAAGAAACATAAAGATGAAAGTAGCAAAAAATGTGGATTTATGGTTTTGTTTGAAGGGCTAACAAATAGTCCTCGCTTAAAAAGTCTTTTTTTCCATTATTTCTTTTGAAAAGTAAATATATAAGTTATACCAAACTTTGTTTTCTCAAGGAAAAATGCATATGTGATTAATTATTATTTTTTTAAAAATTTTTTTAGTTAAAATACACTATTATGATTGGTGGCATCTTACCTTGCAAGGAAATATTAACTCCAAGCAAGCTTATACACATTAAAAGTAGGACTCCAGGCAAGCTTATGCACATTAAAAACAGGACAATATAAAAAATTCACGATAGGTAGAAAATGCATAAGCAGTAATTTGTGTGTATAATGGAGTTCATAAATGTGAAGCATATATGAATATTAAATGTTAGATTCTATTTTTAATATATTTTTTTCTACGACACTAAATAAATAGGGCAAAACAAAATAAATATAGTTATTCAGCTTAATGATTCTTATATACATGAAAAATATAACTAACTTAACAGGAAATTTAGAAATAAATACATAAATAAAAGAAATTAAATTTTTTGTGACAACATATATCTATCTTCATATATATAAGCGGCTAAAGTGTGTGTT